TGTAAATTGGGTATACATTTGTGATATGTTCTAAGACAGAGACTCCATTTTCTTTTTTCGGATAGTAAATATTTTTCAGAACATGAAATGTAAATATTGACAAATGACAAGATAATTGGTAATGGATAACACTGTTGCACTTATTTTTGCCATGAAAAACTGTTACGTGCTCTAGGAGCATAAATGAGTTAGAAGATCCGATAAACATGACTCTTACACTTTAACTTTTAATTTAATTTTCTTACAAATATTTAAAACGAATTAATCACATTTATGAGATCATTGAACTGATTTTTGCATCCGAATCACATGATAGTTAATCTTTTGTCGCTTTCAAGATTTTCCTTGCATTCTGTTCAGCTGATTTTTTGAGTCTCTTTTACAAAGTTAAGCAACATTATTCCTTTCCTATTCTCTAGGGTTGTCAAATTAGGAGGGAGAGTGCTCATGGCGAAAGTGTATGCTGCAACAATGTGAGGGCTCTTTTCGATGAACTTCCCACTCCACATTTAGTAATCGAAATCACACCTTTTCCTTCTGGGCCTCTTACAGACAAGGATTACCTCAAGGCTGAGAAACTAGAGAGGGTACTTAGGTCTGGTCCTTCTGTTTGAATTCTCTTAAGATCCTGTATTGCTCGTTCTGTTCAGTCATCCTGTACATATTGCACTCATGGATTCGGTAATATATCTGCCATTATTGTTATGTTTCAACAAGTTTTCTTAACTTGGCTATTCCCTTCTTCTCTGAGATTTTGCTACCATAGTTCTTGTTTCTCGTAGCGGATTCAAGTATGTTTCTGATAATGGGTTTGGTAAAGCATTGAAGATTAACATTAAGGTCGCACTTGGTTCATTTTGATTAAATAATTGATCAATTTCTACGTCTAGTTTTTATCTTTGCTAGTTTTGAATACATAATTACAACAAAAATTTGCTCTGTTGAGTTATAATCAGTCACATGTTATATTCGTAGGATCAGAAATTCGTATCCTACACGAAGTAATGAAATGAATTTCCAATCTCTAGAAATTTAAGGTGGGATGAACAGCTCAAATACAGGCAAATTCTGTTGTAGTTATGCATATAACTAGCACTAACAAAATTAGGATTATGAATTGATACAAAATTTAATGAAAATCGAACCAAATGAACAGTAATAAATACGGGTTAACAATTTGCATGATATTGGCGTGAAATATTCTATCGCAGCCAGTGATATAGTATTTGGCCACGACTTATACTGTGTTTCATGTTAGATTTGTGAAGATTAGAAATTGTTTTTACGGGATAAGAAAAGTACGATATCAAGTTATATATTTAAAAAAATATGTGATTTTTGAATTTTATATAAGGATTTAAGTCACTTATTAATAATACTTTATTGAACTCTTGAAAACCAATAATTTGAGTTTAAGAAGTACTCAAATCTATGATATTTATAAAGGTACTAGGGTAAGAATTGATTGGATGATTCTCCGTTAAAATGATGAAAATATAAAATTGACAAAAGTTTAAAGATTTAAATAACGGAAATCGTAATATCAAAAACTTGTATTATTTCAGAAGAAAAAGATATAAAATTTTTTACTAGTTATCATAAATTACGATCTCAAACTAATTTACGGTTAGGGTAACTCTATATAGATACCAATCAATATCTTAAATTATAAATTCGTAACTTAGAAATATATTTCATCAATATCTAATCATTTGTATAAGAAAATATATCTCTTTTATATATATGTACTACGATCGTTATAATAATTCTCATGTACATTTGATCTTAGTCAAAAAGGCGAGACTAAGTACATAACAATTCTCATTTAGATAGACGAAAGAAGCTTATATGAAATAAACTTGAACATTAAAGGGGAAAAAAAAAAGAATTCACACAATTCAAAATATTACTCTTTAATAGTAGAGTATTATATTATAACGGATAAATTAAAGCATAAGTTGCATGAAAATTTTAAAATTAAATTCAAAACGTACTTGAATTGAATATATATATTCACTAAATTATTATTTTTTTATAAAAGAATGTAAGAATTATTTGCTTGTTTATTTTATATGATCGAATTGGGAAAAAGAAAAAAAATAATTTTGTTGGTAACTTAGTTAAATTTTACCACTCCATTTTTTTTGTTTATAAATTGTTTTACATGATTCTTAATTTTTGTACTCCCATGGAAGATTTTGGTGATGTGATGGATATGATAATTGATTTATAAATATTTTTTGTACATGGTGTAAATGAAATCATTGGACAAACATATATATATATATATATATGTATATATGTGTGACTAATACATTCAAGCATGTGAAATTTGGATTTGAAAAGAGATCACTTCTCATTCATGTTCTTGACCATATATTACATATTCATATATCATATATATATATATAACGAAACGATAATGTAAAGCAGATACTCTGGTAGATCTTCTAGCTTGAACTCATGATTCATCTATAATATATCTCTCTGTGATCTTTTCCATGTGTCTCATTCATGCCGATGAAGAGCCTGGACCAGGCTCCTTGTCCTTGGACGAGTCAGGGTCTTTCCTGTTACGCTTGGCAGTCTCTGTAAATCCAATCACTCATTATCTCAATCCATT